CTGTCCTGTCTTGGATTGGTCAGGCAGAAGGATAAACCAATGATTAATGCAGCTGTCAAAGGCTATGCTTACATCTCACAACAAGAGCTGTGAAACACTGAGAACACTGGTCCAAATCAGCAGCACAGTGGTCAAATAGACTACCTTGCCCACCTCCAGTCCAACACAGGGTCAAACGTATTGCAGCTGCCCATTGTGAGCAGAGTTCACCGGAGAAAGGAGAAGAGCTGTGTTTCTCTCCTCAAAAACTAGTTATTTGATATGTTGTAAATGTTCAACTCTTGTAGTTGCCTCATTGATCTTTAACTGTAGTGGTTTGCTTCAGTGCTGTGTGTCCACCTCAACAGACTCAAACAAACAACCCTCAGTAGCACAATAGCATAATTAATGTCATCATTAAAATGAGAAGGGAGGAGTTTTTTACAGGATTTCTCTGCAGCTTTTGCTCACTTTATGAAGCTTCACTATCATGCTCAAAGCTTATTGTTATCTGCACTTGTCACAATTTATACACAACACTTGTGAATAGTTCATCAGTAAAAGGATACAACTCACCCAAAACCTTTAGCTCATATTTCAAAAGTTAATCTTTATGTCAGTGAGTAAATTAACCCTGTCAAAATGAAGTTTCAATAGCTTCTCTCTCTCAAAATGTTTGGCTATTTCATCACTAGAAGAATGGAGCACTTAGATTTGCACTAACGTATGGAAACCATTTCATTTTCCTGTAACACTTAACCCTATAAATCATTTGCATCATATTTGATACGTGAGGTTTCTGAGCCAAAAAAATCACCAAAAATGCCCCATGTATCAAATGTGATACAAAAGAAATAGAAATAATCTAAATAATATGACACCTCTACTACTATATGCCTGGACTGTCTATCTATGCATATATGGCAAACAGAAATCGTGAATCTTGAATTTTGAATCATGAATTCTATTTTGGATTTTGTTAAAAGGTTTAATAAACATCTCAGTTCTGAAAAATTAGAATGTTCTGGCTAGTTTTTGATATGTTGGGCTTTACATGGTTAAATTCAATATATAGCTAAATAACGCACAAACAAACAAACAAACAAATAAATAAAAGTATACAAACTTACAGTGCTCCATGAAAGAACAAGCCACAGAGCATGATATATGTTTGGACACAGGTGTTATATGATACAGCAGGGGAAGAATCCTCTCTCCACCGCGTAGGCTAATGTGAGGTTGGAGCCGGGGACAGAAGTTGTCTTTTCTGCACTCAAAGGAGCTAATCTTTTATTCACACACACACAAACACACACACACTTGCACACACAGTGCAACTGCAGACAGAACATCAATTACAACAATCTCCATCAAACCCTGAACTATATACAGCCTGCCCAGAGGGGCATTATGGGGCCAAGTGTCTCTGTTCCCAGTGCTGCAGTACAGCTGCCTTGGAGGTATTCACACCCCTTCAGTTTTTGCACATTATACTATGTTGTAAATTTATTTTGAAACTGAAAAATTGCCATTTACAACACAGTAAAATGTGCACAAAGTGAAGGGGTGTCTGTATTATCTACACATGTGGACTTCACAAAAGCTGAGGATTTTACTTAAACTAATGTGCATGTGATGTGAACCGTGAAATCATTTTTAAGTGTTTTAATATATGACGGTTTAACTGAGAAGCAACTGATCTGTTTTGATCAACAGGACATTACAGTTGTTCGGTGCTGCACTTAATCATGCTGGAACATGTTAAACATTTGCTATTTGCAGGAGCAGAATGAGAAATGCTGCCATGTTGTGGAGAATGTCAAACTTGTTTTGAAAACTGAACCAAAAGTCAGGCTGAACAGTGTTCAGCATCCTCACAGCCTGGTGGATGAAGTTGTTTGTAAGTCTGGTGGAGGCAGGAGTCTGATGTAGGAGTGTGAGGGGTGGGAAGTGTCATCAGCAATGCTGATGGCTCTGCGGGTGAGGCGGTTGTTTAAAATGTCCGTGAGGGAAGGCAGAGGGGCGCTGATGATCTTACTAGCTGTATTCACTATGCGTTGCAGAGTCTCCTCTTAGGGAAGAAAGTGGAGAAAAAAGCACCAGGCGCTCTCTCATTAGGCTCCCATCTAAGGCCTTGAGCAAGACCCACAACACCTGATGTGAAATTTTATTTTATTGTTTTTGTTTAACCTTTACTTCACCAGGAATAGTCCCACTGAGTTTCAAAACCTTGTTTCCAAGGGAGCCCTGGCAATTATTTTGGTCTAATACTTATATCCTAAGGATAGTCTGGCTCGAGGAATACCAATGATCTCAAAGGCTTATCTGTCAGGATAGATGAGCAAAGGCTGATGGTTTCCAGTTTGAATTGGTTTGTCTGACAACCAGAAAAAGGATAAGCATACAAGAAGAATCTACACAGTGTAGTCCCTAATCCCAATAAATTGATCATTTAATAAGATTAATTTCAAACACTTATTTTCTAAACTTACTAATGAAACAACAAGCACTACTCAGACTTACCTAAGCAAGTAATAAATCATAAAGCCATTAAAGACAAAAACTGATATTCAAATGATCAAAAAGAACAAACTTACACTTACATATACACTAGTGATGGAAGAGACAGTCACATGAGACCAGTCAGTTTGAGGTAAGCTGGCTTCATTTAGAGATTCTGGTACTCCGCTTGTATATGCAGCAGTTAGGCCAGGCAGAAGAAGGTCTGGAGTGGGAGGGGACCTTCCATACTCAGGGTAATAGTTCAGTACCATAAGAATAGAAAATGGACAGGGTCCATTTTGAGTAATGACAACCCTTTGTTTTGATATTTTAAGTGCATTTTCCTAGTAATAATTAGACTTTTACTTGAGCACATTTAAATGCAGGTTTGTCACTTGTGACTCAGTATTTGTACAATTTGTTATTAGTACTTACTGTAACAAAAGATCTCAGTACTTCCTGCACCACTACTGCATATTGGATGTTGTCAATCTCTAATCTATCTAACAGAAAAGAATAGCTATGTTGTGGAATTACTAAACCTTCATGTGATACTGAAGCATTGGCAGATGATCACTTCACTGGAAACCCACTTTGCCATGACATGATTGCAGCCTTCATGCGCAGCAGGGCGGGCTTGCCGCTGTGAAACCAAAGTTATTCTCAGCTCCATCAAGACCCTGTCCTCAATACCAAGGCACTTTATAAATAGGCAACCAAACAGAGCAGCGTTACATCTTAGGGCTGCCCTGGGTGTCACTGTGCAGTTTGTCTAAGAGGGGTGCTAAAAATAGCCCTCACTGTGTTTGAGATGGGTGGTGCGGTGGTTAGCGCTGTTGCCTCACAGCAAGCAGGTTCTGGGTTCGAGCCCCGGCCAACCTGGGGCCTTTCTGTGCGGCGTTTGCATGTTCTCCCTGTGCTTGCGTGGGTTCTTTCTGGGTTCTCCGGCTTCCTCCCAAAGACCTCCAGAATAGGTTGATTGGTGTCTCTAAATCCCCTGTAGGAGTGTGTAGGTTGATTGGTGTCTCTAAATTGTGTGTGTGAATGGTTGTTGGCCCTGCGATGGGCTGGCGACCTGTCTAGGGTGTACCCTGCCTTTTGCCCGCAGCTGGCTGGGATTGGCTCTGTGACCCTGTTTGGGACTAAGCGGTTTAGAAAATGGATGGATGTGTTTGAGATAGTAGAAGCATTGTACAGTTATATTAATGCGTTTCATGTGCATTTTCAGGTTTCCACGGGTCAGTCGTGCTGTTGAGGTCAATTTTCAGCCATTATATTTATTTGAACACTAATTTCCTAGCTTTAAATTTACTTTCCCTCCTTTGTCTACTTTGCTGCAGGTTAGGTCCTGGTGTGTGGCCAGATTATCAGGCTCAAAGTGAGTGAGAAGAAAGTTGCTGTTTGCCACCTGCCCTACTGTGGAGACAGCGTGTATTGCACTCACGCTGTCCTAGTTCAGCCTCATCCTCCAGTTTGTGTTTCTTGTTGTTAACCACCTTCACTACTACTGCAGTCAGGTCTGTAGTAGTAGCTGAGGAGATACGTGTGAGAGGAAAGGTGAGTGTTCTTTGGTTTTCTATCTAAATGTTTCAAAGAAAAGGTGTGTAGATTCTTATGGATGTCTGTGGTTCCATTGTGTCTGCCGGCCTGTGAGAACAAAAATCCAACTGTGAAGCTGCCTGTTTTCTCAGCAGTGGCTTGTTTCTGCCACTGAGTCACTGATGATGAACTCCTGATTAGGGTCTCTGTGCTGTACTACAGTATTCTGTGGGTGTGTATGCGAGGGTGGAGAGGGTCAGCTGGTGTTGTGAATCAGGCCGCTGAAGTGTCAGACACGGCTTTTTCATAACACCAGGGTTCCTCCCTACCGCTTCCTGCTGGGATATATACAACTTCTACAAGATTATGTCTCTCCTCAAATAAAGTTGAGTAGTGTTGATTAGCAAATATGTGTGTATTCAATATAAGCATGGAAAGGCTGAGCCCTCATAGCTATTACTCTTTGAAATGAATACTGAAGAGACTTTCAGTTTACCATAACTATGTTTAAATGTTTGCACTCATTTGAGATCCTTGTCAAAATGTTTGTAAGGCTCAGTGTATTACAGCTATGTTTAATAACACAAGTGATAATTTCTTGATAAGTACATAAATAAATATTTTTTTAAATGTCCTTATACTTGTCTTCTTACTTATTAAATTACTTTGACATTTTGCAGTGTTCTTACTGAACAGTGTGACACAAAGTAAAGCATGTTTATTCTCCTGAATAGGACTTTGTCTGGTGAAGAGGGCGCTAACATGACACAATGGCTGCAAACTGTCCATACACACTGTACATCAACTGCTGGGAGCAGAGCTTTTGTCTTTGTATTGTCCAGAGATATTCTGTCTTGCTCAGTCTTCAGTGAATGTTTAACTGGTAAATAATTGTCTCATGACTGAAGGAACACTGTGTGTGTGTGTTTGATTCATCATTACCATAACCGCCATTAAAGAATCATAAGTCATCATAAAAATACAGTACATGCTGGACAGCTTTTACTAGAAGACAGGCACACACTTACGGTATAACATTATATGAGGTATAAAACAAATATCACATATGCAAAGTGAGTGAAGAAAAGCATGTCATAGCATGTACATTCACTTACAATGACAAAAATGGATAGATAGATAGATAGATAGATAGATAGATAGATAGATAGTTTCATTGTTCCTCTTCCAGTGTACTGTACATTTATGAGTTCAATTAAAGGCTTGATTTGAAAACACTTAAGATAGAAAGAGACTGGAGGGTCAGGTGTGAGGCAGGATATGCTTGAGATCAATAAGAGCTTTGGCTTGACACAGAACAAATGGATAATAGAGAGGTAAAGGCAGAGTGAAAATATAAAACCAGACTTGTGTCAAGGAGAGCTCATACCTAGAAAGGTTAAAGAGATCACTTCATAACACTGCAGAGCATTACATGACTGTCTTCTTAATCTGGGCTACCTCGTTCAGGTAGGCAATGAATAGCTTGGTTCCTTCAATATAGTTGTACCTAGAAGAGAAAGAAAAGAAAGCTGCCCATTTATCTGCATGAAGTATTACAGCCAAGACCGGGGAGTAACAAAATGGTGTGGAACAACATGCATGTCTCCTTTACACATACAAGTCTACTAACACTACTGTTCAGGACAGCAGCTGGACAGATTAAACTTTCTTAGAAATCCCCAAAGCCTAAAAGAATCTAGTCCCTGTCCATCTCTGTTGCTAGCATCGGCTCTCTGGAACATAGAATATGTTTATTTTTGTGTTTAAGGCCTCACAGCCTTCATGCTTTAGTCAGAAAAGCCTAATAGCTGTTAGCCATCTATTATGTTCTTTGTGGTGTTGTATATTATCATCTTGTTTAAAACCATATGTGCCTCTGTAATGTGTGCACTCTCTGCATTTTGTTTCAATAAGCCATGATCCTGTGTCACTTTTGTAGCATTGTTAATATTCTTGCATGTCTACCTTTAATTTGACTCATTTTTTTCCTGGCATCCCTATTATCTTGTAGCCTCGTTTGTTTTATAAAAAGTTTTATTAAATGTTTTATAGATGGTTATTTCAGGCCAAGATTGTGAAAAATTAAGAGCAATAGGGGCTCAGATTCCTAACTAATAAATGCTTCATTTAAATCCTCCTCCTGAAATAGGAAGAAAGACACGTGGAGTCAAACCTGCTTATTTTCTCATTCTGGGAGTGCAGCCCGTCATCAAAGCCTCCGATGGGAAGCATGATAATGCTTTTCTCCATCACATCCTGGAAGGTTCTGGCAATGGGAATGGTCCCTCCCTCACGGATCAGATCGGGATCCATGCCAAAAACTATAGATGAGAGGATATTTCCACAGAATAAAAACAACTGGACATTTGTGTGAACTGTGTACAAAATGTCCTAGAGCATTCATGTGTGGGAGGCTGAGAACTTGACAACACAATTGACATTAAAGGCATAAAAACACATTATGAAAGCAAAGTAAGATCCAACAAAGAGGCAATAAAAGTAACACCATGGAACAAAGGTTTGGCGCAAGGTCAGCAAACCTTTACAATCAGACCCTTTCAAAATCTCTGAGAACTAATCAAACCCTTGTTTTGGACCCATAACAAAATTGCAGGAAGCTGGCCAATATTCTCAGGCTACAGTGCTACGTGAGATTAAAAGGTCAATGGCCAGCGTCACACAAGACAACATCGTGTCTTTAAGGGGAGCCTTAAGAAATAATCAATTCCTTTTCTTTCTAGAAAGAAAACTGACAGCTGTGTTTTCTGTAGTTCAGCAAAGATGTCTTTCCAGGTAGAGATACAAGCATGAATTGAATCTATTTCTTCTGGCTGTGTTGACTATATATAATGATGGATGGCTGCTTTTGATTTGGTTTAATTCAGTGGTGGAAATGTACACAGCATTTGATGCTGACATGTTGGCGTGTATACAAGTCTTGCAGGCCTTATATAGTGTAATACCAGAATATCACTGAATGCATACATGAAATACAGTATACAGTATGTTTACAGTTCCAATCATCAGATGGAAGCAAATCAAGAACAATGTGGGGTCTGCATTTGAAGCGTGGAATATCACATTTAATTGCTGATAATGACTTCAGCAAAGTAGTTGCTACACACTGGGCTTTCACACTAGTACTTTGTTACAGTTAACAAGTACATTTCTCCATTACACATACTGAATGACCCAGTACTCTAGTGGACTATTCAGAGAGGAATACAAGAGATTCCCCACCACTGTATGTAAAAATGATTGCTTAAGAGTTTAACAGCCTAAGAATTTACAATAAACCTAAAGTACAGCAGCCTACTGTTAAGCTCAGGAAAAATGATAAGATAAAATATCAACAGCCATGTTAGCTTGATACCCGTGTAGCATTTGACAGAGGCTAGAGGTTAAATGCACAGAGAAGCATTTAATCATACAACTGATGTAAAAAGTAAAAGAAGAAGAATGCATAGTACGGCATACAATATTACTAGTATTTGTATAATTTCACAGTTTGTTAAAGTTTGCTTCATTGTCACTCACTGTATAAAGGATTTTGATGTGGTGATGGCTGTTTAATTTGGGGTGAGGGGTGAGCTCTGTACCTGTCTTGGCAGCAGCCTTCCCCGCCTCATACAGAGGATGCTGAGTGTCAGCTAGCCAAGGCTTTGCCCCGATCACCATAGTGACTTTCAGCTTGTTTGGAGACTTCCTCTTGGCGAACACAGAGTGAAGGTAGTCTGACACCTAAAGCCATCAACACATAGAGCAGAGGTAGTCTATGGGCAGAAATGATTAGCTTATTTTTAAAAATAAATGTTTTGGTTATTCTTCAAATTATTATTATTGATTATTATTATTACAGATGATGGATTATTGATATTGATTATTCTTCAAAAGTGCACATAACATAACATTGCTACAATATAGTTATTGATTTATAATAGATTATTTTTTTCTATTCTCTTTCCTGATTTAAATGCACATATTTTCTTATTTTCTTACTGACTTACAATCACATTGAGAACCCCTGTACCAAAGATAAATTCCTTGTGTGTTCAAACATACTTGGATAATAAACATCATTCTGATTCTGATTCTTATTCCAAGCAGAACATCCACTTCCTGTTTTACCTGTTTCTTTACCACAGCAGGATCCATGTTGGGAACTTGTCTAATGGAAAATTTAGCAGTGACTTTAGCAGGGATGACGGTCTTTGTGCCAGGGTCAGAGAAGGCCCCTTCAATGCCATGGATGGAGACCGTGGGGTAGCGCCACATGTGGGCCAACAAGTCAACCTACAAGAATCGCATGGATAGAAAATCAGATGTCTTGTTGAATTCACTTCTTATAAGAGTTTATTATAGCCCTTTAAAAGATAAATCTCTCACCTTGTTGCTGTACATGAGTTGACTGACACCAATCTTGTTCTTATAGTTGTCCATATCAAAGTCAATGTCCTGGTACAACTTCCATTCTTCATCAGAGAGGGGAGCCACAGCCTCCCTGATGCCAGGAATCAGGATCTTACCACTGGGGGTGATCAGTGTGTCTGAGGGGGTGGACCAACAAAGAACAACTGATGCTACATTTTAATGTGCCTCTCCTTACACCTTATGAAGGCTGGTACATGGCCAGTTACATAATAGAGTTGTGAGAGCTTGGGGAGATTCAGTGCCTTGTTCAGGGGCATTTCATTAGAGAAAATGTTTTCAAACACTATATATTAAAACTCAATGCTCCTGATCTTGAAGTCTCATTAAGTGCTGCTCTTGTGACTTATCAAAGAAAATACCTATAGCCTACTGAATAGTACTAATAAAATGTAATGTCATTTTTAGTAGAGTCTGCAAAAAAGCCTTGTATCAAAGCAAATCATCTAATTATATTGTTAAATGCCACTGGGACCTGAAATTCTCTGTCTGATATGTCACTGGGTTTGTGTATGACTAGTATGACTAAATTTACTTGCAGTATAACGTCATGATAAGAAAGACCCTTTGGTACCTATTCAATACTTAAGCAATGGTGCATGCTCCTATATACAGTAAATCTGCATTTAATCATATAATAAAGCAGGGATCCAGTGTCCATGTCTTAAAAATGCCAACACACAACCCCTGAATGTGTGATCACTTTTCACTGACATCTGATTGCAAATCTAATGCTGTATAGTTGATCCCATGTATTTGGTTATTATGTAGAAATAATCTAAATGAGTGACAGATGGCCTTTTTAATCAAGCATGTCCCAGTCATCTATGAAAACTCCCACGTCTGTAGTCTTTTGCCACATTCATATTACTGAGCTGCCGAGGGAGAAAAACCACTCATCTCAGCCTACAACTGACATGTCAGAGACATCAGGAATATTATCAGGACACTGTCGATATCTCACATAAAACTACAGACATGTCAACAAACTGCTGGCAAAATGACTGCAAATGCAAATATGTGAAAATAAAATCCATTAAGAGTACTGATAGAATTTATCCAGCTAACCACACTGTTCTGCTGACATCACATAAATGCAGTATTAGTGGAACTCGAGCAGTGTTTCCTGAAATTTGTCACACAAGCAAGCGCTTCACTGCTTCCAGATATGACAATCTGGGTATTGGACTTACTGGTTAGATAAAATAGACACTCAGTATAGTAAATAAGATGAATGAATAAATGTGCACTACTGTATATGCTACACACTTAAAAATAGACCCACCAAGAATTCCAATGAGGTCAGTCATTGGTTCAATCACAGTGCCTCCATACACTCCAGAATGCAAGTCCTGTTTTGGTCCTTCAACCTGCAAACACGGCCAGACGACACCTTTACCATGAAACAGCATGAAATGCACAGTATGTGTATGAGTTAGGAATTAGGTTAAGTTTGTTAAAGTGTAAAGTATGAGTTTTATGATACACAACCTCAGCAAAGAAGTAGCAATTGCCTCTAGTGCCGTAGGTGAGGGCAGGTCGTTGGCCAAGCCAGCTGCAGTCTGAGATGATTATGTAATCCACATCAGAGAAGAAGGTGTCTCTCTGGGCCAGGATCATGGCATCCAGACCATTAGAGCCTGTCTCTTCCATGCCTTCGATGAGAAACTTCACATTCACTGGTAGCTCCTGGTGGAAAGCAAAAAGCAAAGTAAAGCAGTGACAGCAAATGGTTAGGAAGAAGGATGAGACAGCTTATTGTAATGGTGTTTCAATAGGGTTTGTGGACTCTAGAATCATAGGCCATTAGCTTTATTTGAACCTAGTCTTATCATCACTCACACTGTTTCTCTCCCCTTAATGCAACCAGCATCTGACTGAGGCATTTCGATGTGGATAGTCAGCTTTGTACTGACAAAGTAGTGCTGATGATGGCAGGAACACACTGCTGCAGTGACTCTGCAGAAACTGCAGTGACTTTGCAAGTTAGCTTGGCTCAAAATCAGCTCTCGTCTCTCGTCTAGCCTGAGGATATGCAGTTTGTTCCAGCTAAATGTGTAGAAGATTCTAGGCCTACTCTACTAAAACAGTCTGCTCAGATAAATGGAAGTTATCTTTTGCATCTGTTTTGCCTGAGGCGTCTTTCTCCATTTCCCGTCCTACTATTTCAAATGTTTTTTGAAAACGACGAATATTTGCAAATAAGTGCTCTAATCGTTCCCTTTGTCTCACTTGAGAGACTGCCTGTGCAGCTCCCACTCCTTCGCATAATGGATTTCATTCACTTGTGGCATGAAAACTACTCAGTATAACAATGAAAGTTGAACTTCCTCTCACCATATTGAGGGCCTGGTAAGCCTCCACAGCGTGGATCCAGGCTAAAACCGGGGCCTTGTTATCTGATGCACCTCTTCCATATAGATTACCTAAAGACACAGTCACACAAAGTCATTATATTTATTATATATTAGATTAGCCTTCACAGCAGCTTGAATTTTATTAAAGGATAACTGCACAACTCCTACTTTGTTCTTATTGTCAGTTGTTACTTTGCTTTTCATTTATTTGTATTATTTGTATATATTCCGTTGGTCTTTGACCCATGCAAATCTTGGTTTTGTGTGTTTTGGAAAGTGCCACATAAATTAAGCATATTCATTATTATTGTCTTCATTATGCCCTAATCAGAAAATGGTGCCATATGTACCCGGACAAGGAATCAAGTCATTTTGGCCCTTAATTTATTCAGTTCAGCTAGTATTTCTCTGACATTCGATAATCAGAGAAATAAAGACTTAAAGGTATTTGAGCTTTTGATTTTGCTGTATGGGATGGTGACAGCACTCTCCAATATTGGTTAATAATGTGGATATTGTAAATGTCTAACTCTACCACCCTAACTATGATCTGTACATTAGCTCCCACTTACGTGTATATATAGTACCCAGCAGCTCAGTGTTATTAGCCAGCAGCATGCAGAATTACAGTGGCAAGCAAATGTAAGTGAAACCTTTGGAATTAGCTGCATTTATGCATAAATTAATATGAAAATATGATAAGATATTAATCTAAGTCACAATTATCTAACAATCTATTTTAATTAATACTACACAAATCTCTGAACCTGGGCTAATCACATCAGCAAAAGTTAAATGGAGTCAGGAATTAGCAAAGCTACATACCAACCAGTGAAACCAGATTAGGGGTGTGGGTTAGACCTATTTGATTAATATTGACAAGAGGCTACTGCCAATATATATTAAAGTATATTATTTTATCCCTGTTCTTTGTAGGTTGACTTAGGAAACTGGACATATGCTTGTATTTATTAATTTTTGTTTTGCTGAGTGCCTTTTGCAGGTGTGTTGCCCTTTCTTTTACTCATCTAGATACCAAGATACCACCCCCTGCATAGCCAACCAGCAAATACACATGTGGGCCAGTGGAGCAGCAGGAAACAACGCCCTGTACAGTAGCATGCCAGTGATGTAGCACATAAGGGTTGAACTGGTAATAATGACTGAAAAGCTTCAAGGTTGTTACCATTAATATCAGTCAGGTTGTAGGGATCCGTTGCCCAGCCATCCTCCAGCTTCGCTGGCTGAACGTCCACATGACCGTACACACACACTGTGTGTTTGTTGGAGTCATTGCCAAACTGAGCTGTCACCACTTTAGGCAAAGCTATCATCTGTCCACCAGGAAGCTACAAACATTAGGGGAGAGGTATCAAGGGGATTTCAATGATCCACAGTGTGTAACAGTACAAGCAGCGTAATCTTACAGGAAAGCAGGGAAAGCAGAGATACAGAGAAATGTTTCATCTCTGTGTTTCTAAAATAAACACATCACAATACTGTACTTGGAGGTGAAACGGTCAGCAGCTATTGTTTTTACCATTCACTAGACAATATAACAGCTCATGCTACATTGGTCCTAATTGCTGGTGAGAAGCTGAGGATGTTGACCTCTAGTTAGACCTAAAACACACTATATATTTAATGAGTTCGGGAAGCAGCTTTGATGTGCTTCAGTCAGCAATGTGAAGGCAGAGTTAGTCCCAACTGCTCCGCTGCATTTTTGAAGTTAGCAGCTCACTTGGAACTGTCACTCTCCCTGATGAGCCCAAATACAGAATATTTACTAACCAATTAGGGTGATAATTACATACAAAACTCATATGTCTCAGATGGCATCTGAGAGGTTGGGAGGGGCCAATGTGCACAGAGAGAAGGCTTGGTCACTGACTTCTTGTACTCCAATGTCCACCAGCTCTACAGTTCCTCCCATCAGCCTCAGCTTCTGAGCCGTAATCTCCATCATGCGGTGTAGATCTGGTCTCTTCAGGATGTTGCTGGAGTCACTTTCAATTGCAACCCAGTTCCGCAGAACCTAAAGCACATACAGTACGGCACACCCAAAACATCATCATCTTTATCTAGTCCTTCTGCCACCTTGTAAAAAAAACTATTAAAATAATAGGCTGCACACTCCTAGTATCTAATAATCATCAAAAGCAGCCCTTAATTGGTTTTAAATCAGGAAATCTAAGAAACAAGGTTGTATTTGGTCTTCATATAAAGTTGTTGTCATACTGCCACCTTTTGGTCAAGAGGGGCTTTGTTTTCCAAAGCCATGGAGAAATTAAACTTATCCACTAACTCTTGCAGGAACCATTTATCTTTGTTTCTCCCTGCTGGCAGATCAGTGTTAATAAAGAAAACTTCAGGTTCCAAAGAGAAGAGATGCTCAGACAGTATTAAATACATTGTATTTATTCTGATCAGAAAGTATGAAGTGTTCATACAGCACTGCATGTCAAATTCATACAAAGAAATAAACCCCTCTGATCAGATAGCTCCTAAAACCAAATTTTGTCAGAACAGAGGACCTTGGGAGAACCAGCTGAATCCAGCTTCCCCACACACACAAAACTCAGGATGCTGTTTGAGACAATACCTTACCTTAGCAAGTTTATTTGTTTATTTATTTACTGTACATATAAGCCTGATGTTACACATTTGGCCGTGACTGTGTTTAACTGTTGGTGCTGAATAAAAAAGTATTTAAAGAGTATTTCCTTATTGCCAACAGCCCAGGCTGACATAAGTCCATTACCTTTCAAGAATCCAGAGTTACAGCACCATGTGCAATGAATTGTCCTTAATATTTTAAATTACTGTAGTTACTGTTTAAAACATAAAGTTGCTTGATATCCATGTAATCAGTTCCTTGTACTTGGAAACCTTTACAGTATATTTGATTATTGTTTAAGAAATTATCTCTGTGATGTACACCAGCTTGGATCCAAAGTGTTGCAGCAGTTTTAAGAGTTCACTGCTTCGATTCTTAGAAGTGTTACTAAAGGAGGAAAACAAATATATTGTACCTCTACATATTCTTCTTGATGGCTGTCAATGTACTGTGCCAGCTCTGCATACTGGAAAGCATGGGCAGTAGAAATGACCAGCAGAATGGAGGGCAGAACTAAAAGGTTCATCTGTAGGCAAAGTCAGAAACTGAATTATTGATACTGCAGATGACTGTATGAAAGGATATTCATTCATATATTGGACTATACAGAAAATTTATGTAGTACAATATACAGTTTATCCAGGGCAGTAGGGCAGGATTTAGAAATATTAAATTTATGAATCCAGATTGCCCCAGGTGGACCCCACCCACCTCATCAGCCAGCAAAAAACACTGCAAAGTTCTTTAATTATTTTTGTTATATTTACCTGTTCAAGTATGTTTTCTGTCAATTTCTGTAAAAAAACTCCTTACATAATGGTGCTTTTATCAAGGTTCAAAGTTCAACTTTATTGCCAGTTGGCCAAAGTTGATAGGAATTGATTGTAGCAAGCTCATAAACATTAGACAACAGACAGTCATCACTTTTGACAAAAAAGGTTTAACACAAAACAAATAATCCAACAGTAAGATACCCAGGCAGATACCAACAAATAATACTTGATGCTATTAATACAGAATAATATGCAATTTAAACACACAAATCGTAAAACCTAAGGTTTTAAAACAACTCTAGCTTGTTGACACGTTATTTCTTAACCCCTCAGTCCTGTAATTGTTTAAACCTTTTCCCTGATGACAAACATTGCAAAAGGGGGAAGCCTGGATGTAGTGTTATTTGCAATCTTCAGTGCTTTTTGTCTAAAATATGTCTCATACTAGACTGACCTGAGGGAAGGTAATGGTAACCTGAAGGTATTGAACTACTTGGTCCACCCTTTTCTTGTCCTCCAAAGTCAGATTAGCAAACCAGACAACAATGGAAAAGGTTTAAATGCTTTCAATCACAGCCTGATAAAAGTGTGTCATAGATCTTTGAAACATTCCAAATTTCCTCTGTTGCTGCAGGAAGAATAGTCTCTGATGAGATTTTTTTAAAGAATCCCTTGAACATTACTTCCCCAGCTGAGATAAGAGGATATGATAGTGGCTAAAAATGTAAACTCATCAACGCTGTCCACAACATCACGTTTGATGGTTAATGGGTGAAATGAGTTGTTTAACCTTCCTAAAACTTACAACCATATCTTTGGTTTTGCCTATATTAATTAATTATATATTAAGCAGGAGATTATTCTGCTCACCCCATTTCACCAGTGTTACCACTTCCTGTCTGTAAACTGTGTTGTCACCCCCTTTCATTACTGATTGATCTGTTGTTCACTCAGCTTTCAGTGATGTATGACAAAGAAAAGCCTAACATTTTTACAGTATTCCCCACATAGGTAGAGAAATGAATCTGATGGTGAAAAATGTTGAAATATTGTCTAAAAAGTCAAATGTAAGGATCTTCACGATATTAACAAAAATTCAAAACCCATAATTTGTCATTTATGTGTAATAACAAATGTAATGTAATGAAAAAAAGCCTCTTTGTTTCTTTAACACTCCAAACTTCACAGGGAGAAACATTGACTTACAGTATATCTTACTGACTTTTCAAAGTAAAACTACACTCAGCGGATGACCTTTTGTCTTACCTTTTCTACAGCTAGGGTGTGTGACATCTCCTCAGCCAGGCAGACTAAGGACCTGTGCTGTTGCCTGGACATTTATATACCCTGCCCTCATAGCACACTCTTGCTGAGCCCAGAGGTCACACAGTCAAACATTTCCTGACACTTTGCCAAGACAGCTGAGTATTTTTCTTTTTTGCTGACAGGTATAAGAATTACACTTATTGATCCCACTCCAAGA